ATAACCTATTGAAAGACGATTTAGCTGAGACAGTAAAGCGGTTCAATTGCACTTCTCTCACAGGAGAGAGAACGATAGAAAACAGGAAGGGAAATATCCAAAAGAAAATGCCACTCACGGTCAGCGGGACCGTACTTATAATCTGGTGGCTAAACACACCCAGAGTGTACGAGAGGGTTCCTCGACGGGCGGCGGCAGCTGCACATCGTCGAGTACATTTATGCAATCCTTCCAGAGGGATCTGGCAGGTGGTCGATGCTTGCACTCCAATACTGCCTTGAACTGGCCTGCCTTCAAAGCGACCATCACCCGCGCCCTCGGCGTCCTCGACCAAGCAGTGCAAGTTCCCGAAGCGCTACAGGGCTGCCTCAGCCAACTGGACCCCAACATTGACAATCTAGAATCGGTACTTGAAAAGATGCAAAGTCTAACAGAGCAGATTGAGCTCCAACCAGTATATCTTGAACTCCAGAACATCTTGGCAAAATGTCCGGCTCCAGCCACCGCGCCCACGACTGCGTTTGAGACGCCACCCACCGACTTTGCAGCAGCTCTGGGCAAACTCGTCATGCTGCACAATGTGGAACCCGAGCGCCAAGAACGGCTTACCAGCACCAATACCAATATCAAGCGGCGGGTGCTGGCGTTGATTGATGCTCTGGACGTCGTGGCAAAGGCGGGTACCACCGACACTGCTTTGATGCATCGCGTGGACACGTTACGGCAACGCGCACAATGCTCGGATGTGAGCGCACCACTTTCGGCCAAGTCGTTACCCGAGGCGTGGGAGCAGCTGTGCCAGGCTCACGAACGTCTCAGCTCGCCCAAACAGAATGGGCTGGAGCAGCTCGCAGACTGGAGAGCAGAACACGATTATGAGCATCAGGACTGGTACCTGGCGTTTGTGCTGCACGAGACACAAGCCCTGTTGCAGCAGCTGCACGATATGATCGACTGGCAGGCCAAGACGCTCTCCGTGGTGACCTTATGCGAAGAATATGCAAGCAGCATCACGCAGAGCAGCGCAGATCAAGTTGTATCCATTCATGAGGAGGTGGCCGAGCTGCAGAAGAAAATTCAGGCAACCACAGCATTCTTGGCTTTTGTGTCAGACGACATGCGAGCTGGTATACAAGCCAACCTGGATGAAGAGAAGGAGCGACTATCGACGTTGCAGCAGCAGCTATCGAAAGCAACACAGGTGGACCAACTGGCAGCACTGGCAGAGCTACTGCACCAACACTTTCCGGCCCTCTTGATCTTTTTGCACCCTGAGCACAGTGCATTGGGTGTACACCTCCGCAAAGTACTTGGCCCCGACCTTCCAGCCAGTCTGATCTTGGAGGCCATGACCGAAGTGGACCAAGTGTTGACGCTCTCCTGCCTGGGTCAGCTTGAGCTCCATTACAACCAAAACCACAAGGTGTACAAAGCTCGTGCAGCGCTGCCGAATCGGCCTGAGCAAGAACAGGATTTGGCTGTCAAGGAGTATGCATTTGCCCAGCAACACAAGCAAAATCAGTGTCGTACGTTTCTGCGCGAGCTTCGCGCCATGCGCCAGCTTGAGCATCCAAACATCGTTCCAGTATTCGGTGCGCTTGTGGGCGTGCATGATGGCCACCCAAGCGCCTATCTGGTGCAGCCGTGGTGTACACAGGGGGATCTGCAGCAGTGGCTCGGCAAGGCGCGGCATCTGGCCACCTCGACCGTCGTTGCGAGTTTGATGACGCAGCTGCGCATGGCCCTGGCGTTTATGCATAGCAAGGGCCTGGTGCATCGGGATGTCAAGCTGAGCAATGTGATGCTGGACGGTGACGAGGACCAACCTGTTGTGCGGCTCGGCGATTTCGACATTGCCAAGGCGGCGGCCGAAGCCACTATGCTACCATGCACAGCCACTGCGTCGTTGGGCACGACTGGCTATGTAGCACCGGAGTTGCTATTTGGAATGGGTCGTGTAGGTGCACGACCGGCACAGGATGCCTTTTCCTTTGGCTGTGTGCTATACAACACCTACATGTTTCCACAGACGGTGCCACCTGCTCGTTTACCCACGGACCAGCTTGCCGACCAATGCACATGGGATGCAGGGGCAGGAGGTGCAGAATGCAGTTTTCCGCACTTGGCGGCTGAGGTGAGTAATATCGCAATATCCCTTGAGCGACAACTGAGCACCGCTTTGATTGTGATTTGCTTTGCTGACCTTTGCTGCAGATGTGCAATTCGACGAGCGAGTTGTACAAGGAAACACGGGCCTTGCTTGCAACAGATCCAAAGCAGCGGCCAATTCTCTTCAGCGCCGGGCAAAGAGTGCAGCGACCTGTCACGACTCAAGCTGTTGGACCAGCCATTGACGTTTTGCGCGACGCACCCGAGCTCATCCCAGAGGTGCGTTGCTTGCCGACATAGTCATATTTACATTATTTTTATCTTGACAAGCCGACTGATTTGACCCCATTGTGTACCAAGGTGGTTGAGCTGCTACAGCAGCTGGGTGCTGACGGGCGGGAGCCAAGCAACATTGCAGTGCGGCGGGTGGAGCGTGTGCAGAACCCCGTGCTGTGGGAACGGTACAGCGCCAAGCGATGGGAGATGCTGCACCGCATTACAAGTCAGGAGCACTATGATCAACTTCATACGGCCACAGTAGATGCGCTCTCGGGCTGTCCAGCTTTGCTTCGAAATACACCCTGTCAAGAGCGCTTGTTGCTTCACGGCATCGCCCCTGACACAATGTTGCGCGACAAGATTGTGCGCCTGGGCATCCCGGCAAGGTGTGGTGGTACTGTTGGGCTGCAGGGTTCTACGTGCGTGTCCTCACATTGTTTTATTGGCGCTGTGTGTCGACTTGAACCTGAGTGTAGAGTCACCAATATGCGACGCCCGGAGCAAACGGCGAGCGTATGCTCATTATTACGCGGGCCCTGTTGGGCCGTGCCTATGTCCATCCTTCGCCTCCTTTCGGGGCGCTGGCTCCCCCGCTGCTGCCCGATGCACCCAACAACGAGCGGTATGTCGATCAAGATGCAATGTCGTCGAGTCCTGTCTCACAGTTTGATGGGACTCGTGTTTGGTTGTCTTGCAGATTTGATTCTGTCATTGCTACACCGCAAAGAACGTTTCGCGAGGTGATATTGTTCGACAATGCCCAGATTTACCCCGAACTAGTCGTCTACTACACTGCCTAGATGTTTTCGTTGAGATCCTTTGTCGTGCAGTCGAATCTGCTCTCCCAGACACTTGTCCTGCTTTTGCACACATCCAGCGTCGTTCACCACAAGGCCTCCTCGTTGGGAATACCCAAAGGTGGTTTGACTTTGCTTGCTCATCCACACACCAGCTTTGAATGTGGGAAGGCGCACAAGTGCGTGTGTTTCAAGTACTTTTGCAATATCTTGGCAGACCGCCATGCCTAATCCGTCTTTGACTACCGTCGTCTCTTCTTGTCCTGATACCTGCGCTTGGACACGCGTCGCACTTTTCCTGTCCTTGGAACCGAGAGCGATTCCGCAGCTATTTCAACGGTGCACCTGGTCTGGTCATTGTGAATACGTTCCAACCGCAGCTGGTAGAATCGACCTGCAGACAGCAAAAAATGTCTTGCTCCTTCCCGACAAACGCCCCCGAAACCCCTGGAAAAAGGGTTCGTCTCGACTGCGTCTCGAGTCGTTGAGGTATCACGGCGTACCTCAACCGTGTGTTGGAAGCAGTGATGAAACTCAGGATTGCCAAAAAAACCTGAGAGACTAACGGGCGTTGACAGAGTGCTCCAATTATGCCTGAACGGCTCATGCTGGTGATGATGATGATGATGATGTCACGACACTCCACCTCGCCCGAGGAGCAGAAACCAGGCGCAAGTGAAAAAAAAAAAAAAAAAAAAAAAAAAAAAAAAAAAAAAAAAGCAAGAAGAAGGACATGAAGCAGAGTCATTGAGCGCGCGCCTCGCACTTGTCCGACCAACTTTTCTTGAACGCGCGTTGCTATGAGCTTGAAGCTGGCTCGCTCGCCGTCAGGAATGGTCGCTCGCACCCGGGCTGGGGATATAAGATTGATATGACTGGAGGGGCAGTTAGCCAACGGGCTTGTAATGTCATGGCAGGCAAAGGGGCAGTACACGTTGTACGTTCAAGCCCCAGTTGTGCGGTGCTTTGGAAACCACTTGTAACAGGCGAGCTGTCATGACGGCAAAGGGCAATACACGTTGTACGTACGCAAGCCCCAGTCGTGGTGCTTTAGAAGCTGCTCGTAACGGGACATGTGGCTGGCAAAGGGGCAGTACACGTTGTACGCACAAGCCCCAGTTTTACAGCGCCTTGGAAGCTGCTCGTAACAGGCGAGCTGTCATGCCAGGCAAAGGGGCAGTCCACGTTGGTACGGACACAAGCTTGACGGAACATTTGCTTGTAAGACTGTTGTTGTTTTGACTTTCCTCTCCGAAAGTAAAAAAGAAGAAGAAAAAGGTGTAAACGTGTGTGTGTGTGTGTGTGTGTGTGTGTGTTCTTCGCATTTTTCTCGTTCTTTGGCTTTTGCCATTTGCCTTTGACTTCTTCTTCCCCTCTTTGGCATCGGTCTCGATCTCGATATCAGCTGACTTGACGTGTCTTGCTTTGTGTGTGTGTGACGACTGATCGCCTGTGCTTGGTACGGGACTCTCCTGGCTGGGGCCTTGGGGCGACGCCAGAACGTTTGATTGAAAGCACTGCTGCCATTTTTTTTGCTTTCAACTGAAGTTGGCCTCACTGATCTCGCCTCACGTGCGGTTGGGCAACCAAGTCCACCGGTCCTCGCAACCAAGTTATTTGTCTCGAGGTGAGTCGTTTGTTGCATCAGGCAGAGAAGAGCAAGGAGCCCGGTGACCGGCTGCCGTTTTGGAAACGGCGCGCGCCTGTCGAATCCCAGTCCGAATTCTGGGTTGTCAGACGAGTTGCGCTTGGAGGGGGCTCATGAGATTGATGGTGGATAGAGAAGCAAGCAAAGCGGTTTGAAGCGGATGGTGAATAGAGAGAGATACCGTTACCATGAGTGATGATGGAGAGCAGCTGTACAGTGCGTGTTATTCATCAGATCCACAAAAGGCGCTGCAGCTGCTGACCAGTTGGGACCAACAACGTATACGAGATGCTGCCCAATACAAAGATAAGGTACGTATGCTGTTTGGTATGATGTTGTGTGATATTGGTTACACTTTGAATATGTCACTGGATGGGGTGACGTTATGGTATAACATGGGACATATACTGCATGTTTGCATCATCCCACAGCTTGGCTTTACACCACTGCACAGGGCCTGCCAATACGGTCATGTCAAGGTGGTGGAGATGCTGTTGAAGCACGGTGCTGATGCTGAAGCCAAGGAGATCGTCAGTACAGTACCTCCCTCTTCCCCCCTTTAACCCCCCTATGCTGGTGCACCTGTACCCCATGATGATGCTGATGATGATGATGCTGTACCTGTACGTCATGCTGATGCATCATCCCACAGACTGGCTATACACCACTGCACTATGCCTGCCGTAAGGGTGATGTCAAGGTGGTGGAGATGCTGTTGAAGCACGGTGCTGATACTGAAGCCAAGAACAACGTCAGTACAGTACCTCCCTCTTCTCCCCTTTACCCCTCTATGATGGTGCACCCGTACCCCATGATGATGATGATGATGATGATGATGCTGTACCTGTACGTCATGCTGATGCATCATCCCACAGTGGGGCGAAACACCACTGCACATGGCCTGCGATAACGGTCATGTCAAGGTGGTGGAGATGCTGTTGAAGCACGGTGCTGATGCTAAAGCCAAGGGCTGGGTCAGTACAGTACCTCCCTCTTCCCCCCCTTGACCCATCTGGCTGCTGCTCCTGCTCCCGCTGCCCCGTCGCCTTTGCCCCCGTCCCTCCTCTCCGCTACACCCTGCCCATCCGTGCGCGTCCGTTCTTCCCCCCTGGCTCCTTTTCTTCTTTCCCGCTATCCCTCTTCTTTCCCCGCTTTGCGTCTGCCCTTTGCCGGTGCTCCCCGCGCCCCACTTGTCTCTTCCGCCTGCCGTTTTCGCTGTCCCCTTTTTCTGATCCATCCCCAGCCCCTTGCCATCACGCCTCTGCCTCCCTCGCTCGCTCAAGCGACTTTCGGTGGCCGTGCCTTCACTTTTGCCGGCACACGCGCCGTTTACTTTTTTTTTTTTTTTCTCTCTCCAAGCACGCCTCCTTTCGAACCCCTGCTACCTGTCCGCATCATTTGCACACCACTCGCGCGTCTGGCGTCTTCAGCACACGCTGAAGCATTGTTACTTCATTTTTGTTATGAGAAAGCAAATGCACGTCGCCCAACTCAGCCCTCACGTCGCTGCCCACCTCACACGCTCCAATCACATGTTCTCAGGGTGGCAAAACGTCCCTCGATGTCGGACGTCAATACGGGCATGGCGACAAGCTGGAGCCCGTGTTTGCTGCTCACGAGGCTCGCCTACCACAACCACCCGCGCCACTCGCTCCGCCCACGCCGGCACCGCCTCCCGCCTGGCTGCCGCCTCTGCCCACCACCCCCACCCTCGAGGTGAGCCTGCTCCCCGATCTTGTTTTCCCAATGCATTTACTACCCCAATCCCCACGGCCTCATCCAACCTAATCACGACCGATGGCACCACGCAACCCTTAATTAGACCACGGCCTCTGTTGTGGTGGCAGTGGACAAGTGGCTCAAGCCGCTCTTGCCCACGCGCACCACCCATCCCCTCCCTCACCTCGATGCGTTTATCAACGGTGCTGCCAAACAAAACCCCAATCTTGCAACGGCAGTTGCGGACATCCAGAGGATCATCGACGAAGCGCCACCAGATTTTCCGGCCATGGACTGGGCTGCCTTCCAGGCGACCACCACCCAGGCTCTCGGCGCGCTCGACCAGGCACTGGCAGCGCCCAAAGCGTTGAACAGCCGCTTGGGTCAATTGGACCCCAACACTGACAGCCTAGAATCAGTGCTCCAAGAGCTGCATGATGCCACTGCTGGGTTTGAGCTGCAGCCAGCTTTTCTTAAGCTTCAGACCGTGCTGGCAGCATGCCCCGCTCCACCCACCACGCCAGTGATCGCGCCCAAAACGCCACCCACCGACCTGGCGGCGGCTCTGAGCAAAGTCATCGCCCTGAGCGGCGTAGAACCCAAGCGTCAGGAGCTGCTCACCAGCGCCAACAGCGACCTCAAGCGCCTGGTGCTGGCCTTGATTGATGCCCTGGGAGCCGTGGCAAAAGCGGGAACCACCGACACGATTCATCGCGTGGAAACGCTACGGCAGTGCGCGCAATGCGTGGATGCAAGTGCACCGCCTCCAGCTGAGACATTGCCCGAGGCCTGGGAGGAGCTGTGCCAAGCTCACGAGAAGCTGAGCCTGCTCGAGCAAAATGGTCTTGAGCAAATTTCTCAGTGGCAACCACCTCCAGACTACGAGTATCAGGAGTGGTATCTGACGTTTGTGCACCACGAGTCGCAAGCTCTGATGCAGCAGTTGCAAGACATGATCGACTGGCAGGCCACGACGCTCTCCGTGTTGGACTCGTGCATGAGTCATGTGGACAGCTTGACTCAAGGCGTCGATGATGAATCGGTTGCTGCCCACGAGGAACTGACCAAGGTGGAGACTGAGATTCAAACTATCATCGCGGTATTACAACAACTGCCTGAAGATGTGCGCCCAAGCCTCGAACACAAGCTCCAAGAAAAGAAGGAACGGCTGGATGCCTTGCGACAACAATTATCAGATCAGCCGCACGTGGACCACGTCGCAGAGCTCGCCCAGCTGCTACACCAACACTTTCCAGCTCTTCTGGTCTTTTTGCACCCTGAACAAAGCACGCTGGGAGCGCGCCTCCGCACTGTGCTTGGGCCCGACCTTCCAGCCAGCCTGATCTTGGAGGCCATGACCGAAGTAGACCAGGGTTTGACGCTCTCCAGCCTGGGCCAGCTATCTCTCCAATACAACCAGAATCACAAGGTGTACAAAGCCCGCGCAGCACTGCCGAATCTTCCTGAGCAAGAACAGGATTTGGCTGTCAAGGAGTATACATTTGCCCAGCAACACAAGCAAAATCAGTGTCGTACGTTTCTCCGCGAACTGCGCGCCATGCGCCAGCTTGAGCACCCACACATCATTCCGGTCCTTGGTGCGCTCGTGGACGTGCACAGTGGCCACCCGAGCGCC